CGCCGGTCCGCGCAAACAAGTGGTCCAGTGGATCCTCCTCGCTCGAGGGACACGATGTCCTTCATTCCTTTCAGTTCAGCTTTTTCGTGAAGAAGTCTGACCATCGGGCCGGCGGTCGTCCAGGTGTTCGTTTGACGTCCCGAGGGATCCAGTCGGTAACCGCTCTGGTCCAACGGTCATCGCAAAATCGCATGACGTGTCCGGCCCACCTTATCTTCGATTCCTTGGCGAAAACGGCAGCGTCCCTGATCTTCGATCGTTGGCGTAGTTCGGCACTCCGGATTCCCCTCTGCACTTGCGTGTATAGGGTTACTCCTAGCATCGTCCTCTCGACAGCGCGTTGGATAACGCTGACCGCATGCTCGTCCTGCCTGCGCAGAGTCCAAGTCTCTGAGGCGTAGGGACAGCAGGAAGGCACGGTGCCAGGAGGTTCTGGTCTCTCACATACTCCGTCCGATGTTTTGAATGGCTCCCCATGCCGCTCGTTGCGCCGCTGCGCAGTGTCTGGAGCTACGATCGTGTTCATCGTGGTTGATCCGACCTAGATAACCACGTAACGAGCATTCCGGGGATTTCATCGTGAGCGTGATGGGGCATCAGACCCGAACCATTCTCATAAGCATTGCTAGTCAGCTGCAGCACCGACCTCCCGCAGGCGCACTCGAAATCAGCCAGCATCCGCTCCGCTTCCTCGATGTTCGGCGTTACAAGGACGACATTGTCAGCAAAAAGAAGGTGGTCTAGTTGCCGGCCGTCGACCTTCACTCCCATGTCTTCCCATTCCAGTTGACGCATGACGTTCTCGAGAGCGGCGCTGAAGAGTTTGGGCGAGATGGTGTCGCCCTGTCGAACCCCTCTCTTGACGTCGATGATGACCTCCTTGTAGAATGGTGAGATCCTGGTCGTAAAGTTGCTGTAGAGCTCACGAAGAATCTTGATGTACTGAGTAGGGACGCCCTGGTTGCCCAAGGCTTCGATGACCGCTTCTGTCTCCACAGAGTCGAAGGCCTTCTTCAAGTCGATGAACGTGAGACAAAGCGGCATCTTGTACTCTCGTGAAACTTCAATGAGTCTTGTAACCGTGTGGATATGGTCGATCGTGCTATCCTTCATCTAATATTCTGCCGAATCCTGTTAAGGATGACTCGTGTGAATAGCTTGTAGATTACAGACAGCAGGCAGATTGGGCGATAGTTGCCAATGTCGTCCAAGTCTCCCTTCTTGTACAGCAACACGGTCCTGCTGGTTTTCCACGGAGTGGGTACCTTGCATTTCCGACAGGTAGCGCGTGAAGAGTCGAGCCAGAGTTCTGATGATAACTGGCGGTGCGTTCTTCAGATGTTCCGGTTTAACCCTGTCGAGACCGGGCGTACGAAAGAGAACTAAAGAAGGACACACATCGTATCCAATCCCACTCGAGAGGTGATCCAGTAGCTCAGATGGACATGGCTATCGAAGAGATCCGAGTAGAAGTCGTGGATGACTTTCTCCAATAAAGGTTGGACTTCGGAAGAGAGAACTGAGGGGACGACGTATCCATCCTGTTGCAGTTGATAAGTAGGGCAGATGGACATGGCTATCGAAGAGATCCGAGTAGAAGTCGTGGATGACTTTCTCCATTGCCCTTCGGGATGCAGTAACTGTTCCATCCGGACGTCGGAGGCAGGTCATCTTGGTCTTGTAGCTGGCAAAGCTTCGGCGGGCATTGCGGATGCTCCTCCCAGCCTCTGCTGCTTCAGCTAATACTGCTGCTCTTCGCTCCTTGAGATCTTCCTTTATCGCCTCTCTGCATAGCTTCGCAAGCTCGGACGTGAGTCGGTGATTGCCTGCAGCTCGTGCGGCTCCACGCTGGCGTATCAGTTCGAGAGTTTCCGGAGACAGACGTCAAAAGATGAAGTTTCACAACTATCACTGATGTCTTGTGAAGTGCCCAACACCTTAACCAAAATCTCGGCCAGCGTGAAGGCAAAGACCGGACCGAGTTGATGTATTATTGCACTTGCCAGTGATAGTGAAGATGTGAGTTGTAACGCCAGCAATGGAAAAACAGGAAGAAACCCCACCCATCTCAATTGCGGCAACTATGCAATGCTTCAGTCAACCAGGGTCAAGCGTGCGTTGAGGAATCCTCGACACGTCGCAGGGGGGGGGTCGTATTGGCCCGCTGGGTGGAAGAGATCGAGCCATTTTGATGCAGTGGGATCATCACCGTCGGAAGACAAATATCAAGGATGAGTCGATGCCAGGCCAGAGGATTTCCAATGAAAATGATATTTCACCCACACAAAATTTTCGTGATTCTGAGGCGTCCGGTAATTCTTAGTTACTTCAGTGTTTTATCACCACACAAGTTAAAGAATCTGAATTTCGCACGCTTTCCAAGAGATATTTCATCTTTCAAGTAAGACCCCGAATCTGAAGGGATGTGAGGTACACGGCGCATCCGAGAAAGGGTCTAGTTGTTGCGCGCGCTTCAACTACGGCTCCTTGGACAAACAACCTCAATTCAGGAACAATCGAGAGAATTCTGAAAGTGTCCGTGCGCATTTACAGGGAGGTGTACACCATTCAACATTGCGTTAACGGACTCTTCAGGGTAAATTTATAAACATGTAACCTTTAAAGTTGAGAAACGCTAATCAATCACTTTTCTTAGAGAGAAAAGCAGTGATTCCAAATCTGCTCTTACTTTAGTACATAATCGCCCTTAAAAGGATATACAGCCGTTGAAATAGTGCCAATGTAGCGAAAAAGTACCTTTCGGCGGTACTCGTGCGAAAATCCTCAACGTAGCCGTTTTTTTAATACTGGACGTTTGGAGCAGTTCTAGTAAGCATTTGATAGAGCAAATCTTCTAGTTTATGATGGCGTATTTACTTTTCGGATTGGATGAGTTTGAACGGAGTTATGGCTTTAGGAAGTAAAAAAACTCGCACTCATCACAAATTTTCCTCGTTAATTTTGCGAAAATCCTCAACGTGGGCATTTTTCGAATACTGGACGTATAGAGCTGCTTTAGCAACGGTTTGGTAGAGAAAATCTTCTAGTTTTGTCTGCCATATTAACTTTTCGAATTTGACGAAAATGAAGCAAGTTGTTGCTTCGGAAAGTGTAAAAACTCGTGCTCATCTCGAATTTTCCTCGTTAATTGATAAATTTGTTATTTCTTATAACTTTTTGTAATTTCATACTGATTAGAAAAAGCTCTTCACAAAACTTCCAAATCTGCTTTCAGATTGAAAATTCGTCATATTTGAAGAAAGTTATAATCATTTGAATATTTGTTCAAATTTCAATAGTAAATAAGCTGCTCCACGGTCAACGCCAAAGTCCAGTCAGGCCCTGTTCAGAGATGTCCGCCGGCGCGAAAAAACGCACAGGCGAAAATCTCCGCCAAGATTTAGATACGCATCGACTGAGAAATTGTGAAACGCGTAAGCGAAACGTCCGGAGCAGGCGAATTTCAGTCAAGAGTTTGATATGTATCGACTGTGAGAAACGCACAGGCGGAAAATCGCGTGAGCGAAGCGTTCGTAAGTCGATGCGTATGATACTCATTTTCGTCGATCCTCCCACTTCACGATTCGCCTGTGCGTCTTCGTTCAGTCGATACATATTTCACATTGTTTCGCCTATGCGTTTTTTCGCGCAAGCGGACATCTCTGAACAGGGCCTTACACACAGCTGGCGACGGCGGTTAAAAAGCTTCTTTCAACTGAAGGGCTACGTGCAAATTGAGAACCACAATCTGTGTAGTACTAGAATTTGGTAAGTCTTGTGGAGGAAATAAATAAAGGACAGATGTTGTCATAGTATGCCATTTTTAGTGGCTAGTTTGTCGTTTTTGGTCTGTTTCTCGTTTGCTCGTTTGGTAGGACTCATCAATAATGATTATTCTTTGACTTTTTCACTTTTGTACTTCTTGAACGAATTTTTTTGTGGGCGGTGGGGTAGCAGGGCTTTTTTATGAGCAGTTTTGGGGGAGAATTAAACAAGCTTTTCAACCTTTTCATAGTTCGGCTTTTGAAGAGTGTTGTTTCATGGACATCGGCCTCCGGCGGGGTGGGTGTGGGGGGGGGGGTCGTATTTCCAAATTTTCCTCGACGCCTCGCTTGACCCTGGTCGAGACCGTCGATGAGGCCGAAATAACACTCTCTCCGGTAGAGGGAAGTGTAAGCAGCACTGGATTGCGGGCGGTCTCAAGTGTTGGGCGGGACCAATGCTGCATTTAATCGTTAGGGCCTTAGCGCTCCAACTTTGTCGAATGATATCTAAAGTTGTGTGCGTGCCTTCCGGTTGCATATCGCTGCAGTTTCCTCGGGGAAAAGCCCAACTTCGACCAGAAATCCCGGACCTGCCTTTAAACAGCCTTTCGTCTTTCATTCGGCTAAAAGGGAAGTGCGAAAAAAGTGTGCAGAATGAGTGTCGGGAAACGGGAAGAGCTGCCCGTCTTTATGCGGAGCTGTTATTGTGACCAGGATGCTCGCTCATGCTTCCTCGGCTGTTGTTACACCAAAGTCAAAATTGATCTTAATGAAAAATCACTTTTATTTTGTGTTCCCTACTGTATGCTTTAGATAACCCCCCATAAGGAGTTACAGGATCTTTTTTTACACAAATTTATGCAAAAACCACAAACTACAATATTTGACAACTGCACAAATATCATCGAAAACATACAAACGTTGAGAGACGGAGGTAGTAATGGCGAAGGAAACAGAAAGCACGAAATTTCAAGGAACTATCTACAAAAACAATTGCATTTTCCAACTAAAACTCTCTATTTTTCGGAAATAACTTTAGCTATCATATTTCCCATTCACTTTACACCTACCAGGTGGATTTTAGATAATTTCTTTCTTTATTGGCAGTGTAAGGTCGAAAATTGAGAGGCTTATAACCTGTATGCTCCCTAGCAGGTGTACGGCAAGGCAAGCAATGCATAAACATGTAGTGATTGGAAATTTATTGAATCTGATGTCACTTCATCTCCAGTCACTTCATGTGGAGGTCCGACTCTTCACAGGGAAAGCGTATTGGGTTAGCGGTCCTTGGTATTGACATCCGATGAGATGTCCAATAAGGGGTAGTCGATCGCTACCGAAGAAAGCCTCCACTTCACCCTCACTTCGTTGTACATGAATCCAGGGCGCTCCGAAACACTAAATGCCGTGATTATAATTGGTTTTTGAGCTGCATTTGTGAGTATGTGAGCTTCAAAATATATGCTGTAGATCAAAAACACTTTCAAAGGCCTAAAGTTGGATCTATAAAATTGCTTTGATACACATATCCTAAGAATAATTCACAGTGTAATTGGAGCGCTTGTAACGTCCACAGGTTCTAGAATATTCCCAGTGTACGGCCGAGTTCTTGACAGGAGGCCTGCTGCGCGGCAAAAAGGTAGGGACGCAGGTCAGCGGACGAGTTGCAGTGCGTGCGGTGTAACCTTGAACGTAATGTGCACACTCTAGTTAGCTTGATGTACAATAGCTGCAGTACGCGCTGCGACTTGTCCGCTGACCCCTTCCGCATTTCTGCCTTCTCGCCGCGCGACGGGCCTCCTGTAGTGTACCCTTTACTGTCACTGGTTAAGCTAAAAAAATTCCCACGCGATTCTCCAGTAATCTGTCATAATCGTCGCCAATGAGCTCACAATAACGAAGACTAGGTTCTAAATGCAGTGAGCGTGATGGCTGCAGGGAGGAGCGGTTCTGATGACGTCATCAGTGGAAAGCGCTGGGAAGCAGAGTCAACCGTCCGTTAGACAAAGTCCAACGAGGTGGGTCGTATTCGGCCGACGGAAAGAGGGGGTCGTATTCGCAAGGTCGGAGGCAGCGTCAATCCTACACCAACGGGGGTCGTAGTGTGACGCTTTACGCTTTGTGAGTGCTAAGAAAAAAAAGCCGTTTCACTGTTGATATATACCCCCTACCCCCTCCCTCCCCCTCTCGACGGCTATTTTGGAGGAAATGTGGGTGGGGTTGGGCTGTGTCAACTGGTCTCAGAATCAAATACTATAGTACTGGGGGGGAGGTCGTAAAACTTTTGAAATTTGTCCAACGTGACGTTTGACCCTGTTGGGAAGTGGTCTCAACCTTATTTACCTCGCGCGCTGAAGGGTGTGATCCGCTAGTGACGACCAGTAACATCATCAAAACTGCTCCGCCTTCCAGCCATCGCGTTTATAGCCTTTAATCCACCACAGCCTTAATGTTTGAAGAAAGGAGTAGGTTAGTACATGGATAGTTGGATTACTGCTGCAGATGCCTATGTCCATGCCATTTATCTAACGCAAGCAACTGATTATTTAGACCGCTGGCTGAGTAAGTAAATAAGTGAAAAATCTTCAGAATAAGTAGGGATTCAGATATGAGATCAAATAAACCCTCAGAAAAGCGCGATCCTGACGCTAAACTAACTAATTGCGTGCGAAAAAATTCCAGATGACCAGAAATACCTACGCCATAAGCTAAAGCTTCGTTTGTGTTGCATCTGAGGGTACCTTTCACCTCATCCGTCACGGCCAGTTGCAAAAGAGCATCTTCGTCGTCAACTGGGAGATCTTTCAGCGCCTGACAACGAATATCATTAGCAACAGTACATCATTATCCCATTTTCTTGCACCTTTCTCAACCAATACGTACTTGTCGAAGATCATCCACGTCAAAGATGCTTCTGTGTTCCGTAAAAAATCTTCTCCACAACATTCGAGCACAGTCTTCGAGGACAGAAGGGGGATGTTGCTTCTGGACAGCAAGCAAAAGCCGTTGAGCAAGTGCTGATGTCTTTGACAGCACCAGGGTTTTGAAGTCCTGAGAAAAATGGAACGAAACTGAATTTTATCACATGTACGGTTAGTAGAGGGACGCATTTAGCAAGAATAGGTAGAAAGCAGAAAACTTAAGCCAAAACTGAAGTTCGCACGATCGTAGCTTCACTTCTTCTTTCATCAGAAGAAAATGAGGGCACAGCCTGCTTTGCGATCAAATGGTGTCTCCCGTGAATGCCTTCCAAAATGTTACTACTGATTGAATAAGGTGTAACTAAGTCCTATTTTAAAGTACCATGCAATGTTTACGAGTGGTCTGATGAAATCTATTCTTTTTTCCCCTGGGTCTTTTTCACAACGCCATGCGCTAAAAGCCGCATCGAAATCTAATTTAATTCGATTTCAAATTGGTGAAGCTAACCATTGACTTAAAGCGAGAAATTACGATAAAATTTCTGTGCAGCATGGAAGAACGAGCAGCACTTCAAGCAGTAGCTAGAGCCCAAAGGAATCGAGATGTGGCCTTTTTGTGACTAAAGGTGCGCTCGTTGCAGCGCCCTGGGGCTGCCAATCCTTTCTGAGCTCCGCCTCCGCCTGTGCTCCGCCCCTCAGCAGATCGCTGTTCGATTATCATTCTGATAAGGTATGCCACTTCGAGCGCGTATCCAATTTTTTTCTCATGGAATGCTATATCAATCAAGGTATGATCTCTGGTGGTATGATGGCAGCTATGGTTTAACGAGTGCCGACGACCTCTTAGTTGGTTGCCAACTCGTCCATTATCGGAGGTCAACGGGCAGAGGAAGTGGTCCCATTTTGCGCGTTTTTGACGGATTTCTTTGCTTTTTTCGCTACTAGGGCATTATTCAGCATCTTCACTTCCACTATGAGCACAACAGAATCCTATCGCAATCTCTCGCTTTAACAAGTTTTGAAACACAAGTAGAGCCATTTCAGCTTAGTGTGCAGCACAATGAAAGGAGATTACCTTTGAAAATCTGACCAAGACAGATTTCCATCAAATCTCACCAAGGCAAATTTCCATCAGTCACAAAAATGCAAAATCACTGAAGTGCTACAGCGCACCTTCACGGCGAAGGGGGAGCTGCGATGAAAAGGCAGGTCATTTGAAATCAAGGTGGACGTTGTCAGTGGTAGAGGGATAGAGAAAACTGACGGAGGAATGGTCCAGAACCCTAGCACCTTGGCACCCGCATTATGCCCTTGATTTCCGCGAAGCAACTCCTACTATCGGTGCTGCCCTCTTCAAGGCTTGCGCTCTCCCCATGAAACGACTAGACCCGATGGTGAGACAGTGGGCGTAGTGCGGCGCGAGGGGCGCGGATATGGCTCTGCTAGGCCGCTGGGGCATACTCTACGCTGTGAAATGCACATCGTTCTGCATCCTAAGGGAGCAGCCTGTCCTTCGACTTTGACTTGACACTTGAACTTGGACAGAATCAGCTTCCCAAAACTTCATACGGTTATTGTATTACCTGCGGCAGGGATATAGGAATATCCCAGTACTCTGCGTTCCTTCTGATATCCGTGGCCATGTAGGCCTGCTTATGAGTTAACATCAGCGGCGCTCCAGGATTTCCTGGAATCAGAACGTTTTGGGAAGCACGATTAGTGCAGAATGTGACCATGTTGGTTACGAAAGATCCTGAATGCCCATGACACCCGCAGGCTGGTCTTTTAAGTCTAAACTATTTGCAAGTAGTGGTGGTTCAGTTGCTACGAACATGTCAGACCAAAACAAGGCGCAGTTGAAGTTTATATAAAAGGCGATGGAAACAGGGGCAAACAAGGCCACAGTAGCACGACCACGAGTGTGAGGGATAACGGCGATTTTGAGATGATCTAATATTTTTGGATTTTCATATTTGTAGTAGTAACTAATACTCGTAGTCTGGAATGATTTATGAAAGCTCATTTTGGGGAAAGCAATGCTACATCCATTCTACCATCTCTGTTCTCTGTGAGATCGCAATGTACTCGACTTACTTCATGTACTTACTTGTTGCCTTTATAACACCAGCGAGGTAGAATGGACGAAGACGGACATCGATGGGCCAAATCTGTCGATATCTCATCAATCCCTGCAATGCAAGGCCATTTTCAGTTGAACAGCAAATACATAAGGGATATCCCCGTTGTTTTCCTAATAGGTTTTCTAGTGGGACTCTTACAGCCATATTCCTGTGAGTAATCTTACTCCTGTGAGTAATCCACACCGCACTGTAATGTATGCCGAATGCTCCGCATACAAATGCAGCTCTGGGCGGTAGTAAAGTGCCCTAGACTGGCAATCAAATGTGGTGATTTTCCCCATTGACGAGGAACAAGGAACGTGGAAACATGGACATGACCCTTCTTGAAACCGCCAGCCTCGCCACACTACCTGCAAAACTTGCGCCACTCTCGGACTTGAACCCTGGATGACAGGACTCATAGCCGGGTTTTTGCCAGTGCACCAGGGATCACTCGATCACAGCATCGGAAGAGGTCTTGACAACAGGTAAGCAACGGATGTTGTTTGCAAATCTTAGACTCCAAGCGGTGTAGATCCAGCAACCTTGCCAGCGGCAGCGTGGAACGTTCCTATTGAGCCATTGGTAATTTGCCATAGTGGAAGTGGTGAGCCCCACGTTGCCTGCAAACCTTGCGTCACACACGGGTTCGAACTTTCGGTGCACCGTCCCATGAGCGGCATCGTTACCACTGCACTAAGGAGCCCTTCTTATCGGCGGTGAAAGGT